CACGTGAGAGGCACGGTGGTCCGAGAGCACATGGGAGATTTGGGGAGAGTGTCAGTGTGCCCGGTGTGGGTGGGTCACTTGGTGGAAATGTGGCTGGAAGGGGAGGTTGGGGTGAGATCACCAGTGCTCCCGAGTCCATGCCAGTGGACTTTATCTCAGCAGTACTGGGAAGTCACTGATGCTTTTGGAGCCAAGGACTGATATGGAAGTATCTACATTTTAGGAAGTCAATTCTGAAAGCAGGGACGATAGACAGGAGGGAGTGGTCACTGGAACCCCAAGGGAGTCATATATACACCATGCTCCCCAAGCCCGTATCATCTCTCTGAGCACAAGTCAGCTTCCGACATAAGCGACCCTCTCTGATGTGAAGCTCAGTTCCTATACACAGGTCGCTCTGGTCCTGGGCACATGTAGTATTCCTCTGAGCAACTATTTATTCCCCCTACTTCCCAAAGACTTTCATTTGTCATGCTCACATCCTGTGTTCTCATGGGTGGAATAAGCCCTGGGGACGGCCTGGTCCCTGTGTGTGTATTGGCCTAATGTCATGTGGCCTGAACCAAAGGCCTGAACCAAAGCCTAATTGGTCTAATGTCATGTGGCCTGAACCAAAGGCCTGAACCAAAGCCTTCACTGGCCCCCTTGTTCTGGTGCCACCTACATTCTTTTACCTTCTTGAATGGGCATCCCAACCCAGGACAGGTTTTTGAGACTAGTGTCTCCTTTATGTCATCAGTGACCCTAAGTTTCTCTAGGCTAGTGGGCTGCCATTCAAGGAATCTGCTTCCACAGCTGAATAGTGAGCCCAAGAGAGCTAAGATCACCGGGATCCCTCTTCCTTCTCTCCTGCCCTTCTCTTTACAGGAAGCTATGCAGGTCACAGAGTGAATCCCATTCACGTAATTCCTGTCCAAGTGCCAGGCTGCCTGAAATCTGACCCACTAGGGACAATAGTTTCTTGATGTAAGGTCAGTCCAGCCAACTCTGGACACTTAAGGATCACAGCCTGTATCTTGAGCGGAGTGATGTTCTGGGCACTGGAACAATGGGCTTCTAGTTCTGTATGGGACTAGGATTGAAGTAATGGTCTCTACGTGACATCGACGGTCCTTCCAAGCGATGGCAGCCAGGATGAATATTCCAACCTCTTTCTTTAGACCATGTTTACAGATGGGGTTCAAACGGGGAGAGTGAGGCTGGGAACATTCTTCTGATGCTCAGCCATCACGTAGAGGTTTTAAGTACTCAGGCTTCTATTGCTCCCTGACAAAGTAGCTAAAAGACAAATTTACACAAGGAGCATTGGACAAATGTCTGCCTAAGGCGTGCCCCGTGTTGTGGCCGGTACCGCCAGGGGGTCTGCCTGTAGGTGGTAAATATGTATGGATTCCTCAGAGGTCACAGATCCCATGATTTGGTGACCGCCCCCGCTACCAGACCGAGGCTCTTTTGTTGCTCCGGTGGGTGGAGACCACGTGTAGGAGGAAGCCTTAGGAAGCCAGTTTGCCTTCACCTCTCTCCCTAAAGTTTGTGAAAGCTGGCCTGGAGGTCTGGGAAAGACCATGAGATCTGATGGAAAAACCCTACTGTTTCGGTTTTGTGAAGATTGAGGTAGGCTAAATGTTGAGAACCCCTTCTGCAGGAATTCTCCATGCTGTTCTTCTGGGGACTCCTTTGGGACTCCATGCTGTAGGTCTCCAGCTCAGAACCCAGTCACCGCAGCTGTCACTGCTTATCAAGGACTACTCTGTGCCAGACACCACACTAAGTTCTTTGTAAGTTATATTTACTCCTCACAGAAGCCTTGCAAGGAATTATTTAGATGCCCACTTTGGGGAAATAGAGCCACCAAGAGGTTAGGTAACTTGCCCAAGGTCACATAATAAGTAGCAGAACCAGGATTCTAACCCACTTCTTCCTGACACCAAAGCCCATGTTCTTTACCCTTCACTATATGACCTTAAACTTTGCCATATTGATGACAGCAGCTCTGGATCTCCAATAGCCACCTTGTACCACACAAGTCTGTGAAGAAGTCTAAGGAGGGAAGACAAGGACAAGATCCCCTTTCTAATACCTTTCATCATATACTTGGGAGGGCCACAGTCTCTCAGTCCCTTTGCATGGAAGTGGATAAAGGCAGAGTTGGTTCTACCAGCCAGAGAGCCTGGAACCTTGGGGCTGGTGGGCCTTGGTAGACTGGCCTGGGCACTGGAATCCAAGCTCCCAGAATTCTAAGCTTAGGGATAAGTAAGCTCCCATCAAATGACAAGTAAGGAAACTGACCCAGAAGGAAGAACAAATTACCCAAGGCCACAGAACTAGTTAGAAGCGTTGTATATGCATCAGTGTGTGTGTAAGTGTGTGTGAGTGTGTGAGTGTGTGTGTGTGTGTGTGCACATGTGTGTATACAAATGCATGCACGTGTATGTGCTGGAGATGACAGTAAGGGGTCTCCTAATTCCCAGGTCCTGTGAATGAGTTCAGGAGAAGGCCGTGGAGTCCATCTATACCCAGAGGGGTAGACCATAAAAAAGGCTATTTTTAAACATTTCTTTTGGTTTAACACAAGTAGTTTATTTGGGACAGGTGACTCCAAGAAGCGCCAATGTAGGAGTGGGGGATGAAGAGAAGGAAGCCAGTACATGTTCATCACTGCTTTGACTGCTGGGCATTTCCGGGAGACGGTGTGGAATGTGCCTTGGGTTATTCCTCAAGGGAGGAGGAACCCAGGGGGTTTATCCACCTGCCTCCATTACCATCTGCTGAGTACTGCTACTTGGGGGCCTCAGCTCCCCAGAACCTCTTCTCAAGGTTTATTCACTCCAGCAATAAAAGAAAGTGAAAGGCTCCTTTTAAAGGTGTTTGTAGCCCCTAGTAGCTACCAGTTCTCTAAAGAGTCTGGAAAACCTTTTTGGGTGAAGAGGCTTGGGCATGAGGACCAAGGACAGTCTGTAGGAGAGACGGATGAGACTGAACGGTGCCCTCTGGAAGCCGGTTGTGATCGGAAAGGGAAGGGCTATTTCTGTGTGCCCTGTGGAAAGAATAGGGAAGTCCTACCACAGGAGTTGAAGTCAGTTCTTAAAAAGAATTTCTTGGTGATACCGGTGAAAAAGACTTATCAGACTTCTGGAGCCCATTCAGCTATGCACCTTGATTAATGGCCATACAAGAAATGATGGAGCAAAGAAAATTGCACAAGGACGGTTTCCTTAGCGGATTTGAGGCTTCTTGTGGCTAGGGCCAGTCAAAGAGTTCTCCTTTATGGATGCGATGAGGCCGAGGAGTGCTGGGAGGAGAGATGGAGATGGAGCGACAGGATTTTTCACCCACCTGTGGTTATTCTAGTACCAGAGACTCCAAAGTTGGGTGGAAGCAACAGGAAGAGGTCTCTTCTCTGGCATGATTTGGGGCACCTTACGTGGAGGCAAAGCCTTAGAAGAAGAAATCCCTAAGGTCGCCTGGCTCTCCGACCAGGGTCACCCCACCTCTTGAGCCCCTGCTCCTCATCTGTAAAAAGGGGAGATTGGAGGGCTGGACTAGAGGGCCTCAGGGTCCCTTCCAGTCCTGATCTTCTATCTCTGTCCGCTGTAGGGGCCATCTCTATGGCCCTTGCCCTCCCTGCAGGTCAGTCATCATCAGCTGTGAACTGAGCACCCACCACTTGCCCAGCACTGAGTGGGGAGCAGGGATAAGCCGGACTACAGGCCCTGGCCTCTAGGGCAGGATGAACAGGGGAAATAAGAATTAATACTTACTGAGCAATGACTCTGTGCCAGGCAGTGTGCTAAACAGCTTACACATACTGACTCCTTTCCCCCTCACCATAACCTCATAGAGTAGGCAAGCGTAGCTCCACTAGACAGAGGAGAAAACCAGAGAGGGGCCCAGAGGAAAAGCAACTGAACTGAGGCCGGATGGTGGTAGAGCTTGAATTTGAACCCATGCTGTAGCCATAATGCGTCTTCTCCTGTGGACCAGGAAGGGCGTCGCTAAGCATAGCTCCTAGTGTGCTTACAGAGGAAGCGGTTACAGCTAGAGTCACCTGGAAAGGCTTCATGGACAGGGGGCTTCGCACTTGGTCTTGAGGGAGGGGCAGGACCTGCAGACTGGTCAGGGAGGGGGATGACCTGAGGGTGCTAGTTCTCCAGGATGGGCTGGGTGTGGGGGCTCTAGCCTGCTTCGAGCAGGGAGGTGGACAGCAGCTACGGCCCAGCCTGCTGGTATTTCCATGGGAAGGAAGGAGGGGCCAGGAGCCAAATACAGTTGCCACCCCAGACCCTGAAGGGCAAGCACCCTCCTCTTCATAGCCCCAGCTCCAAAGAGCTGACGTCCGTCCACCCAGTCCAGAGGAGCTTCATGCCCAGATCATGCCTGTAAGGATCATTCCTTCCCCAACAGCTGCTGGAACAGTGTAAAGATGGAGCACGTTCAGTGTAAACCAGCTTCTTTCCAGCTGCTTAAGCCACTGGTCTGGAAGCTAGATGACTGATAATGGTGATCCTTAACACTGATATATAGGAGGGACCATGAGTCAGGCACTGTTCTAAGAACTTTAACTAACTCAAACCTTCCAACATCCCTATGAGGTAGATACTATTATTGTGCCCATTTTATAGATGGGGAAACAGGTACAATGAGGTCGAATAGCCTATTGAGGTTGGCACAGTTGATAAGTCAGAGTCCAGATCCCAGCCCAGGCGGTCTGCTCTTCCCCACTGTGCCATACTGCTTCTAAGCACCGCTGCTTCTTCCCTCTTCCTGGGCTACCCTTCTCAAATGTAGGTTCTCTCTCCTTGCCTGCAGCTCTCCCCTGCCAAGGCAGCCCCTCCCTAGAGGCGATGGCAGGAGGCACCCCCACGAGTCCCCACCGCCAGAAAGGCCCATCAGTGCCCCAAAGGTCAGGCTGGAGCGCCCAGTCTCTCTCCTCACCCCCGCACCCACATGCACCCTGTCCCGCTCTCCCCCAACCGAGCACCGTTGCCTTTTGTTCACAGCGATGGCTCCTGCACCCAGGCCGGTGGGGGCATGGAGGACTCCGTGGTGGCAGCGGCGGCGGTGGCAGCCGGCAGACCCAGTGCCCATGCCCCGAAGGCTCAAGCCCAGGAGCTGCAGCAGGAGGAGGAGCGGCCGGGGGCGGGGGGTGCCTCCCCGAGGGCTGGCTCCCACCGCGTGGCCTCCCCCGGCCGGCAGCAGCCTGCCCTGGCGACGGCGCTCTGCTCCCACGCCCCTAACGCCTCCGATTACGAGCTCTCCCTTGACCTAAAGAATAAACAGGTACCCAGGGCCTCCGAGGGGGGTGGGAAGGGTGGTGAGGGGGCCCTGCCTTCGGGGGCTATCCAGGGTACCAGGGATCTCCCCACTTGGGCCCACCTCTGCTGTAGGCACACTTCTTTTCCCATGACTTCTCCCAGATGGAGCTGTCTTCGGCCCTTCCCTGGAGCCCAGTTTGTCAGGAATCAGCCTCTCCATGGCAGGGGTCACACCTTTGCAATGCCAGTTCCCTCAGTACTGTGTTCAGGGCTCTGTTCCTCTCGCCGTGAGCCAGAAGCTTAAATTGCCCCACCCCCAGACCTTGAGACAGGTAGCCCACTGTTCTCTGGGGAAGAAGAGAGAGCCTCGCTTACGTGTCCATGCAAAGGACAAGCCCCGTGTGTAGACACAGGTTAAAATGAGGTGCCAAGAGAATGGTCTCCTCCAAGGAGATTGAGGATTCCCTAGATTAACCAAATCTCCTCTACTGGAGAACAAATCCTGTGTGTGTGTGTGTGTGTGTGTGTGTGTGTGTGTGTACTTATGTGCATATGCTTAGAGAAAAACATCATGACTAGATATTGGGTTTTTTTTAAGATTTTATTTATTTATTTGGCAGAGAGAGAGATCACAAGTAGGCAGAGAGGCAGGCAGAGAGAGAGGGTGAAGCAGGCTCCCTGCTGAGCAGAGAGCCCAATGCGGGGCTCAATCCCAGGACCCTGAGATCATGACCTGAGCCGAAGGCAGAGGCTTAACCCACCGAGCCACCCAGGTGCCCCATGACTAGATATTATTAAGAAAGAGCATTGAACTTGGAGCCAGAGACATAGGATCCAATCCTTGGTCTTGCTCTAGTTAACTCTGTGACTTTGGGAATGCCAGTTATGCACTCTGGGCACTGGTTTCTTCATCAGCAAAATTGGGCATTAGACCTTGAATCATCTCCAAGGTCCCTTCTAGCTCTACAGTGTGTAGGTTCTAAAGAAACATCCTTTAACTCAATGGGCAAAGTCAGTCTTGGGAAGGAAAGCTAGTAGGAAGATCACTAAGACTGAGTCAGGCCATACCAACTTTACTTCTTTCCTTCTGCATCAAGGTCAGCTGTAGGTGGAACATCTGGCTGTCAGCAAAGTATTTAAAAAATCCCCCATGATCGATATGTGGGCAAGACAGGAAGCAGAGTAGATGATAATATAGTCAAGTGGGTTCTTTTCAAACAGAATTCTTAAAAAAAAAAAAGTTGGTTTTTCCATCAAGGCCAATTCCTTGGGGGAGGTGAGCGGTGTGCTGTCCTTGGTCCTGTTCTGTTCAACTGGTTTTGACAAGGCACTAATTTCTGATGACACAAAGCTGAAAGGGGACAGCAAATACCTCGGTGACAGAATCCAAGATTTTGTAAAAATCTTATCCAGACATAAAGATTTAAATGAAAAAGTCTAAATGAAATAGGGAAAAACATCTAAATTTCTCTTAGCTTTGAAAAGCCCACAGCATTCATACAAGATGGGCAGGCTTGGTCCTGGGAGAGAGACCTTAGGGCTTCCATTGATTGTAAGCTCAAAAGGAGTCAATAACCAGGAAATCAGGTGCCAAAGTGAGTCTAGCAGCCTGCACAGAAGGGTAGATAAAGCCCCCTGAATAAGGAAGCTGCTGGCTAGAGCCCCACACTGGTTCCTGGTCAGGGCCCGTCTGGAGCCCGTCCTTGATTCTTGGGGCTGTCTTTAAGAAGCAAGTAAGAATGCCGAGGATTCTAAGGTTCTCCTAAGAAGGAAAAGAGGATTGACTGGATTCATATGGAGAAATTGTAGACACGAAAACAAGTTTTAAATATGGAAAAGCTGGCATGTGAAAAAGGGATTAGATATATTTTCTATCATTCCAGGCAAAAATAGTGGTACTAATGTAAGAAAGCTACAGGAAAGGAAGCTTTTAGCTCAATTAACAATTAGAGCTGTTAAAAATATAGAAGGCCTTGCTTATGAGGTAGTGAGTTTGTGTTACTGGGAATGCCCAGGCAGGGGTTGGCAGACAGTCCATCTGGAACACTACAGTATGATGTGGGTGGTCAGTTGGCCCAGAGAAGACATCTTCTCGGTTCCACATGACTGTGCTCCTTGAGGACAGAGACCATCTCTCATCCATCTTCATACCATTCCCCCAGCACCTAGCGGAGTGTCTTGGACATAGTAAGAGCTCATTGAATGAATACTATTTGGATAACTACGGTGTGAAAAGGAACACGAGAGTGAGGTAACAAGAAGAAAATGGTCCCTACTGGCCCCCAAAGAGAGTGTAGCTCATTTTAAGGAGTATCGGGCCAATAAAACTGAGGGAAACCTGTGCTTCAACTTGGGCGGGAGAATTAGTTTAATTCTGAGTGATGATGGCATATGGAGAGTTGCTCTGATCGGTATCATGGACCTTTTTATAGTGGACATCATTCTGATAGACGGTTCTGCTTGTCGGGCCAACAGGAGTGGGGTGGGAAAGGTGTGGGACGGTTGGCAGAGGGTGTGACAGGAGCCTTTGTGCTGAGCGAAACCAGCCTCGGGCAACAGCCCACTCCCCTGGATTGAGTATCTGTCTGGGTCAAACATAGACTGGAGGGAGGCAGGAAGAGGGCAAAAAGTGAGGGGCTAGAGAAAAGTGATTAAAAATGCGGCACACGTTCATAAGAGACTGAACTCAACTTCTGTCTCTTCTGCAAATGAACTGTGTGACCTCCTGCAAGCTGCTTAACTTCTCTGGGCCTCCATTGCCTCCTATCTCTTTGGGGCTTTGTATGTGCTGTTCCCTCTGCCTCTACCGCTAACATTCATGCTCCCCTCCTTACTTGGCACTTGGCCTCAATTACTCTTTATTTTACTTTGAGACAGAATTATGGTTCTCTTTCCTCCTCCTGGCAGCTTTCCCTGCCCTCCCAAGCCTGTGCTGGATGTCCCTTCTCTGTGACCCTCCCGCACCCAGCCCTTCCTAGTCATAGCCCTTCAACCCTATATCCTCATTCCCTGTTGACTTGACCACTCCTTGAAGGCAGGACGCATGACTTATTATTCATCATTATATCCCCAGTGCCTGACACAGTGCCTGGCATGAAGAAGATGCTCAGGGATGAAAAGGGGAAAATACGAAGTGAGCTGAAGAGGGAGAGGGGCATGAGAACTGGGGCCAGGACCTGACTCTGCTTTGGGTTTCTTCGAGATCTAGGGTGTGGTATTCTGATTCTGTCAGTCCCACCAGTGGCACAAATACTGTAGCACTTGGACTGGAAGGATCTTGGACAGTCATTATCTCCCTAGCCCACCAACTGCTAGTCTTGCTCCATCGGCCAGTCCAGAATCCTAGGCAGTTTCTGTGGCTTCTCTGTCCTCCAACCCAACCTCCACTGCTGCTACATCTTAACTCTTTCCCCAATTCCCACCCTCCCCTGCCAACCCCACCACCCCCACCCCAGGGCAGGCCACCATCATCTCCCGCCTGAGCCCCTGGGGGGGGTCGCACGTTCCCCTACTTGGAGCTGTGCTTCCTCCAAACTGATCTCCATGCTGCCACTGAGCCCTCTTGGAGAGCACATCTGATCACGGTATCTCTCTGAAAGCCTTGCATGGCTCCTCTCCGTGTGCAGGACAAAGACTTCTCCAAGGTCTCCTACTACCAGACACAACCCCATCTCCTGTCCCGCTCCCAAGTGGGGTTCCAGCCATTCCCACTTGCCTTGCTCCAGACCTCTGTGCCGTCATTTGCCTCCGGGCCTTGACGGATTTTATTTCCTTTGCTGGGAGTACTCCCCACTTGTCCCTCCAGCACACGTCACCGGGGAGATCTCTGCTCATACTCCGCATCTCAGCTCAGTATCCCTGAGCCTGGCTGTGTGCCTTCACGGAGTGCCCCACCGATGACTCTGTGCCACCTGAGAGCTGTCCCACCCATAAAGGCAGGGACTGTGCCGTTCTCAGGGCTGTTACAGAGTCGAGCAGACTGTGCACAGAACACCTTTGTAGTCTCTGTGGGGAGTGAGCATTCCTCAGAGCTGTGCGTTAGATGATACGTGGCTCTTGCCCACCTTTGCTTCCGGCAGCCTGCACAGTCCCTGGTGCCTAAGACATGCTTCACACTGGAGGAACACATGAGTGAAAGAACAAACAAATGAATGAATGAAAGAACGAACGAATGAATGAACGAAAGAAAGAATGAGTCTGCCCCCTGGCATCCCTGCCTCCCAGCCCCCAGGGCCTCTCCCCATACTCACACAGTGGGGAGGTCCTCCAGTCTGGCTTCTCCTGTCCTCCGCTCCCTCCACCCTCAGCTCTGTCGCTTTATCTCACCGTGGTCCTTGGGGTTACAACCTCCAGGGACAAAGAACATGCAGGTCCTTTCGGGGGGTCCTTTAGGAAAGTGGTGTGGGGAGGATGCATAGGGCAGCTGAGTGAGTTCCACATTCCTCCATGCTCTGGAGGGAGTTCGGATCCTGCTGTGTGCCTCTGCTGAGGAGGACCCTGTTGGAGCCCGCGTGGGATGTCCAAATGGCATGGGTCTCTTGCCATCCAAGCCAGGGGACCATGTGGTGGTGGTCCGTAGCAGCCAGGCCTTGACCCCACGTCAGGTCCTGGGTGGAAGTCATGTTTTCTTTTTTGGACAGCAGTCCTTTCTACAAGCGATCTCCCCTACCCGAGCCTCGGGGTCCAGCCTCATCCGGGAGGTGATCACCCTCTTAAGGGGATAGGTGGTTGATTATGTTTCCAACTCTCTGGTCTCAGTTTCCTCATGGAAGAAACAAGAGGTTATTCTGGAATATCTAAGGCTCGTTCCTCCTTTGAAGATGAGAGTCCCACCATGGTCCTGGACAGCATCAGGGGCCAGCCTACAGATGATGGTGAAGGCAATGCCGGTCAATGGTAGTCCTTCTGTCCACCTGCATCCAATTCAGGGAGCACTATCGCACAGCTGCTCTGTGCAAGGCCTGGGCCACCGCGCTGCAAAAGATGCAGTTCCAGGCCTCAGGGAGCTCACTCCAGTGGTGGGCG